GTGTTTTAACTTCATATTCCTTATTTCCCTTCTGGACTCCAAGTAAGCGCACTTTGGTGATTTCCGTAATGTATGTCCTATCCACTTCTAACACCTTTTTCTTCTCAGTTGGAAGCTGGTTTTTCCTCTCTAACAGTAGGCTTTCTTGTTTAATTTCGATTACTTTAAAGGAAATATCTAATCGCCTACCTTCAGAGATTATCGTGTAAAACCATGTTAATATTAAGCTATATTATTAACCAAATAGGCTACTGATTGTGTTTTATATACTACTGATTCAATGAATAATAATATACTCCTCTTGTTAATAATATATCCAAGTAATTGAAAACCAACATTTAGATTTCTTCAGTGAATAACCATACTAAGTTCAAGTTATCTTTCTTAAATCGCATAATTTTCTTTATTACTTTTTTTATATCATCATTTTGTTGATTGAAGATGTAGTGCAACAAAATATCATATGATTCAGCTTATATTCCATATTAAAACCATCTAAATTCAGGTTATGTAATAATATTTTAACTGTTTTTCCTAGGAATTGCAATCAATATATTTTGAATGACAGTTTTCAATCATCCATATAATGAAAAAATGCGGTCATAATAAATGTATGTTATTGATTGTTCATAGTACCTGTTAATCAAAGATATCCACTTCTTTTATTTTACAGAGGAGAAAAAAACAAGATTAAACTGAATATTTTCCGATAGAGAAGATATTTTGTTTCTTCCTAACTTTTAGTCAATCAAATTTAAATATTTATTTGTTTTTGTTTAAGTGTTTGCCTCAGTGTATGTACACAAAAGTCAATGTATCCAAGAAATTATGAAAGCTTTATGAATGGTTCCACATCATTAATGCTCACTCTAATTTTAAGATGTTTTTCACTTACTCGATTTTATTACTCCTACTACTTCTTCCTCTTCTACTACTTCTTCTTCTTTCTCTACTACTACTACTACTACTACTACTACTACTACTACTACTACTACTACTACTACTACTACTACTACTACTACTACTACCACTACTACTAATACTACTACTACTACTACTACAATTTTCAACACTGATGATGATATAATGACGGATCGTTTGTTGATTAAGAAATATCACAGGAGATACTAGATTTGAAAAATATAGATATTGAAGTTGATCAAATCTGACTTCATAAAACATTTGTCTGTGTGAAAACTTTTTAGGCATAGTGAGAAAATAAGTGATAAATACTGATACTTTTAGAACAATAAACGTACAACGTCAAATTTAAAAATTAAATACTATTATACTCATCAATGATCGTCAAAGTTTTTCTTCATTAAAGTCATGAGCAGATCAAAGTCTTTTCTATTTAATTTATCATAGGATCGTGGATATGAACAAACGTAGAATTTCGATCAAAAGATACGTAGTTCCATAGCTAATTTTATCCTAATATGAATATTATGTAAAAATGTGATGGGAGTTTAGCAGTAGCTTTCACTAAAACACATTGTTTATAACTGAGATTAAAAGAGAGTAAGTGATGTTTATCTATTCACATATACCAAATCTGCTTAATAAAAGCGCCAGATGCCTTGGTAAGTCCTCAAATGCCTTGGTACGGCTGAGGATGAAAAAAGTTAGCTCTCACACTCAAAATGCTCTCACATGGCCACGTGCATACGGCCACTCTGTCAGGGAAGTCCTATTCACTGCCTTCATGAAGCATTACTGTTGTTTAAGAAATTGAGAGGACAAAAGGCGAATGTCCGGCGCTTTAACCGGGTTGATGGAGACGGAGAGGTCATCTAGAGGAGTTGAAAAACCCTGATTTCAAACCAATGGTGCACATGGGCTCCAGTAATCTGAGGGAGAAAGTGGAGTACGAACCAATTATTGATTAGCGGCTACCATGGGATTACATCTGATGTTGCTCCACTGCTTTGTGGATCAGACCTTTGTATCGAATGCTCCATGTGTGGTCTCCCAAGAAAATCATTTGCTTCGACCTAGGAACCCGGGCAGTATCACAGCCCACACACAAATCATGTGACTTCTTTGGCGGATATGTATTCGAAGCAGTTTTGTACCAATATTTATGTGTTCAAATAAACAAATAAAATTGTAAACTAGCCAATTCATCTTATAATCTACTAAAATTTTATTGTTATTATGTAGCAATTAAATTTGATATCTATATTAAACTACACGTTTCACAATTTTGATTTACAGAATACGTTCAACAGAATGATACAAGATTTTACCACATCATGTGATCATCATCTTGAATAGATCACGCTAGGCAAAAATATTCTAAACAATGTAGGACGTACAGATTTCAATAAAATCTATTATAGTAAATATTTCAAAACTAACATTAGAATTTTAAATTACTTTATGTACTTAATGTATGTGTATGTATATAAGCACACTAATGATCAGTAATTATTATACTGTCATATATCTTTGCAGGTAACAGACAGTAACAAATTTATTAATCAGAAAGGGTTTTGGTGGGTTTTATAGTAATTTAATAGTTGAATTCATGAATCAACTTAAACTAGACCACCACCATTGAAAATGTGAAAGCACTGGTTGCACCCATGATCCCACTCGTGGGATTCGAACCCAGGGCCTATCTATCTCGCACGCCTACATTTAATCTCTAAGCCATTGAGTCAGTATCCAATGGTGTTAATTTCTAACCTCAACTAATCTGATAGTTAGTGAGTTATTGTATTGATCAACAAAAGAGATTCACTGGTTGTATAATTAGGTGTATTTATTAACCTTATATTTTGCAATTTATGATGGAATAACAATGAAGAAGTCGTTTATGAGTTAGGAAATATGATAACAAATAAACTATAGTCACATTTTGCCTTTTACATCAGAAGGAAGATCAATGAGCTTAATTATGTATTAATAAAACTTAATGTTGAAGATGACCACCCCTAAAAGCATGATTAAGTTCAACCGATTGTGAATGAAGTGTTAAACATGACGAAAATAATTTCTGTTAGAAAATGATTACAGACTATCCTCTTAATTAAATTAAATTACAAACAAACACGCAACTTAATTGAAGTTAAAAGCAACTAAGTAATTATAGATTCTTTCTTTTAGAGAGTAAGATTTAGACCGTTTCTTTTTCGCAAAATCTATACATTGACTATATCAAAAGTGTACCGTCCATATGATTTAGCACATAAATAATATATTATAGAAAATACAGAGTAGAATATACATGCAGTTTGATTTAGAGGAATATCTAGGAGTTGGGTCTTCGTATCTATTTTACATTTGAAATAAAATTGTCTTTGTTATTTCGTGAATAATAAAATTTCACTAAATTAAGAGAACTTCAAGTAGAAGTCTTCTACCTGAAGTTTGTGCTGATGATATCGTTCAGAAGAACAATGAAAACACCACATCCAAACCATCTAGCTCAACGAACGAAACTCCATCAAAATCATTTACCTGAGCTGCAAGTCTTTTCCACCATCTCAAAAATTAAAAGGATTATTTTTAAGGATTCTTGTTTTAATATGACATAACACATTCGGTTCGCTTAATTAGTGCTAAAAATGAAAATGGAATAATGAAATCATTATCCTTTTTGTGTATTTACATGACTACAGTAATAATCTAACTAGACTTATTGAAAGGTTTCAGTTGTAGATTGGAATTGGAATCCTTGACTAATAGATGAGAATAAGTACAATTTTGATTCCTTGATGTTCTACAATTATTAATCTATGGTTATTCAACACTAAACACATTTGTTTAGTTTAATGACTATGTGAATAACACTATTCACAGTTAAATAATAATATACATTTAGAATAAGATTTTATATTCTTTATTAATCCTCATTTTCAGAAGGGGTTTTGTGGAGATTTTAGAAATTTCACTGATTGAAAACATGAGTCAATTGAAGCTAGATCACCATGGAAAACCTGGGAGCACTGGACGGCCGTTTCGTTCTAGTATGGAAGTCCTCGGTGGAGTTCAACCAGGTTTGTTGTGAGATGTCAACCCACTGAAGACAATGGTGTGCGGTAGCGCAACTTCGTGGATTGGTTGAAGTTAGACATTAACACCGTTGGATGCCAAATATTTCAGTCAGATATATTATACAATGTATATTTTGTCAAATCCATATGTTAGTTTAGATATAATATGAAATTAGGTGTTTTTCAATTTTTTTTAACAGCCTTCAAAAGATACTGAATGCGAAGTAAATATTTAGAAAGGTGGTTCTATATGTATTTCATAGCTAGGTAGTTTTCCTGGTATGAGATACATAAAAATTATGGTTCAGTAAACCAGTGTTTAATATTTTCTATCAACGCTCTACATAAATCAAAGAAAGAGGTTTTATAACTCTATATATGGTCGACAATTGACATCGAGTATACCTAAGGATATTATCAAAGTTTCATATTTGTTTTAGATATGATCTACATTATTAATATAAAATTCTATTTCCTAATACATTCTCTTTGATCGAGCTCTTATTGTTTGATCTGAACAGTTCACTTTCTTTCAGATCAATGCTCTATATACGTCCTTTGTTGTAATCTTTATGGTTTGAATTGATGAATTGCTATATTTTAAATGTTATCATTGACCAAGAACCTTAGGGACAACGTTTGGCTTTAATAATTTACAAAAATGACAAATAACGTTGTTTTAATTATCCGTCTATTTACAAATCAAGTAATGTAGCCATCGTATGATAACAAAGACTATTTAGCTCAACAGTAGAATCATTAACCGGATCATTCTAAAATCTAAGAGATGTATACTACATTCAAACATTGGATACAAGATATCTGTTATCTCAACTATGGTTTACAATAAATGAAAACATCAATTATTATCTTTGATAAGTAGGTTGGTATATAAGAATAACTTTGTATATTGTTTTACTCAAGCAAAAATATTATGGACAAAATTTATTAACACAAAATATATCTAAACATCTATATCAAAAATCATTATTGACTTACTAGATCTCATATTTGAATCTGGATTCTTTTTTGGAATAGTCGATTGATTTCCATTAACTTGACCTTCTTTCATTTCTGTTGATATTGTTGTTATATTAATAGATTGTTTATATTCTGTTGAATCAATTGTAGTGTATTTCGGTACTAATAATAAACAGTCTTTTAAGCCTAGTTCACAAGTTTCTTCACAGAATTGAATATTTTTCTCTAATAAATCCTATATATTTTTATTATCCATAGTGTTATCGTCAATGGTATGGATCGACACGTATTTGATTATATTCCAAAATATTATGTTCATTATGAAAAACAAGAGAATAGTGGTAAATACTTTTTTTCACAACAATAAAAAAATTTAATAGTTGAACATATAAGTAATATATATATATATGTATATATATATACTAAACGGTTTAGTTAGAAACCCCTAATTCTCAATTATGATAGGACATAGAATATCTTTACGAAATCATAGTGACTAATTGCATGGTATTCATTATGAATGAATCTTGATAAATTATGTTTCAACTAGTTAATCAAGACAATTTCTTACTCTTTTTGAAGTTTATACACAGATACAAAATGTTATTATGTGATATTTTGTAGTTCTCAGAAATAGTATGTGATTAGTCCCTTGATTTGTTTCTGTTTTGCTTTTTTGCTTTTTTGTAACGAAAAAAAATTGAATGTTTACTGTTTTGTTTTTCCTTTTCCAAAAAATGTTTTTGCAGTTAACCGAATGTTTTTTGTTTACGAATATTAATCAAAAATAAAACTCCTTTTATTTTGTAAATAATAAGTGTAAACAGAATATAGTAAGGATTGTAATATTCTCGTATTAGTTGTTATGCACCAATCATCATAATTTTTTTTCTGTACAGTTCATATCCTACTGAACATATTAACTAAATGAATTCTAGTAATATGATTATATTACTATTAATATAGTCTCATTCTTATTTTACTTGTCTTCAGTTGCATCATAAGGGGTGCAATAGGAAGATAGTGGTTATTTGCATTTAGTGTGTGCATATATATACATATGTATATATATATGTATTTGTAGGTGTACATGTGTTTACGTGTTCACATTGGTGTATCTAGTAGTTATTCGCTTGTGTATAAATGTATGTGCGGGTGTGGGAAACTGTTTAGTCCTTTATTTTTTGTAATGTAAAACAACTTTTTAAACGGACGATTTATTCCTGAATATCTTCAAAGATATAACTATTTATTTTTGCAAGTATAAATTTATATTTAAACAATGTATTGCCTGAAATAAATTGATGTAAATTAAGGATACTTGTATAACTTGAAAAAGGTAAAGATGTACCTTTTTACAATATAACCTAAGAAAAACTTTGTCGAGACAAATGAAAATATTTTCCTCTTTTAGTTAATCACATAATCAATACTCGAATAGATAGTTTTTGTACATGCTCTAATCAACGAAGTCGTTAAGGTAGGAGATCTTTGGTGAATGCTTCCATTTGACTGGTAACCTTCAAATACTACTCCTTATTAGTTGAACATAATCATTGTTTAAAATTACAAATTCAAGTTAATTAGCACATCTTCATGAGAGAAACATTTACAGTCACATTGCTGAGACAGTTATTTTAGGGAATTCTCTAGTGTTTTTGGTATTAACGTTTTACATAAACAAAATGCATCATAGTATCCTTTACCTACTTTGTTTAAATTGAGCGTCATTGAGGTGCTCGGTTCAAATAGTGATATCCTCAAGATTCAACTTTAAATGCATGGGTAACATAAACAAGTCATACATGTAACACTGTATATCGTAGTACATTGATTGTTATAATTAGAGTTGATGCTTTCAACCGTACTTAATTAGCAAGGTTATTAGTTCGTATTTAAGAATATCATTTCGCAGGTTTTAATTAATCGATATATTTGATTTTATCTAATCTTTCACATTAAAACAATCGTCATATCATTAATAACTCGAAATTTCATAAATTGCTAGTTTCGTCTATACATATATTTGTTCTTAGTTGATATAGGTGTATTCATAAAGCAGACTGAATTTCATAGTGAAGCATAATACCTTGTTATAACAAGTAGAGTACAATTTGTTTTCATGGTTAGGAAACAAGTAAACTCATATCGACCATAAAATGGTACGCTTAAATAAATTGTGGTATACACTAATCATGATCAGATGTAATATGAACCATTTATTAATTTCATGTGAGCGCAAAACATCGGATACACTATTAATCAATAGTTTTATAAATAGTTATCAAGATATAATCATGCTTAAGAATCCCAATCTTCAATCGCATTGTAATCAGTCACTATTGGTGTTACAAATGTTTGACATAAAATACACTCAATAGATTAATGTTAAGTAATAGTTATTGAATAGGAAATAACATAGAAATCACTATATGACTTCGTAGTATAACTTCACAAGTATCTTTTAAACAGAACCATATGAAAATATTTATACTCCTAGTGCTAACACATGAAATCCATAATACATTACAAAGCATTTTTAATTAAATGACTAATCAAATGTTAAAAATTCCACTATTAAAATAAATGCAAAATTCATAAACCACTAGTACAAAAAAAGTATATAGGAACAGAAATAAGTAAGATCCAAATTAAGATCTTAAAAATAAAGATCAATGAGCATTTGTAACTTCGATATATAACATGGTTGGTATGTATTCTACTCGTAAATGATACGCGTTTTCTAATATACTAATATTTTACTGTAACATTTGCTTATTCATCTCTTTCTATCCATTTAGGGGGAATAAGAGAATGTTTATGATAACATTTAATCATTTAATTTTGATAGAAATAATAAATATGTTTCAAATGTATTGGATATAGTTCAAATTTTATACTGGGTTTTTTTATGACAACATTTTTTATTATACTGACTACACAATAAATAACATTAACCCCGATTCAATTCGAAGATTTATATAACTTTAATAGTTAAGATCATGAGTCAATGGAAACTAGACCCTCATGCAAAACCTGGAAGTACTGGAAAGCCGTTTCGTCCTCCTATGGGACTCTCCAACAGTGCGCATTCACGACCTCGCCTCACGAGTTTTGAACCCAGGACTTACCGGACTCGAGAGCGAACACTAAATCTCTACACCACTGAGCTGGCATCCAACGGTGTTAATGTCTAACTTCGACCAATCCACAAAATTGAGCTACCGCCCACCAGTGTCTTCGGTTGATTACTATCTCACAATAGACCCGGTCAAACCCCACTGGTCGCTGCTTCCCAATAGAACTACAGGTAATACATCTTGAAGCCGGTCACTAGTGAGCATATGTTGATTAGTATCAGAAGGGGTTATGTGGATACTGTAGTAATTTTAATATTTGAGATCATGAGTCAATTGAAGCTAGATCATCATGGGAAACCTGGAAGCGGTGGATTTTGAATTTCAGTAACAGAATATATTTTTAAGATTATGAAAAATTATTTTTATTCAAAGCATGAATGATGAAACAATGACTCATTAAAAGTTACTTAATTACACCAAAAAAACTTCATTAAAATGCATGAGTTAAGATTTAGTTCTTTCCAAAGTTCTTTAATGTTTTAAATAGTAAAAATATTCCTATACAAAAAAGTTTGAAATAACCAAAATGTATTCAGTGATACTAATTTTATTCAACGTTTATTTTGTTCTAAGCAAAGGTGGATAGTGACTAACAGTGGAATCCAGTTTAACGTATATTTCGTCCTATTTGGGACTGCTCAGTTTAATGTACCTGCATCTCAGAATTGATGTTCACTCTAGAACACAAACCTAGTACTGTTCGCTTCAAATGTCATCACGTTATCCACTTAGCTACTGAGTCCATCTTTGCATCAAATGCTTGTGAATTAAAGCAATATAAAGGTAATACATACAGTATGCACATATGTCAATAACAGACCGATCAATTGCAATGCTAAACATCAATGGGATCATTCAAATAAACAATACTAAATGAGTTTGTTTTATTGATTATTAAAATAAAATATCAACACAAATGTCAACAAATTGATATTTCAATGCTTATCTAAAAAAAAGAACAAAGATATGTCATAAATAAACAAAACTCATGCCTATCAATAAGAATTACTTCAAGTTGTTCTTCTTTTCCGAGATAATAAATTCATTGAATTGTTATTATCAGTTTAATAAATCAGTTTGGTGGTTTATATCATTGGAAATTTCAATGGTACATTGTTTGTGATAAAATTTAACATTAGTATCAAATGTTTAAATGTAGTATATTTTTAGTTTAAGTTTTGTGAACAAACATCTACAAAAGTGTTCTTAGCAACTTTACTTTTATTTTATTACTCGGATATTGACATACGAAACATAACAATGTAAGCATTATGTCATAATTTATGTGAAAAATGATCTGTAACGATAATGAAGGTTACAGAAAATCTTTTCGACTTATCTGCTTATTGTAGTTCCAAATTATTAGATTTTTTAAAAAACAACTATATAATCGCCATTCATATTCTTGAATATTTTCAACATGGAATGTTTATGAGTAAAATATTTAATATCAGAAGGGGTTTTATGGAGATCGTAGTAATTTCAGTAGTTAAAAGCATCAGTCAGCTGAAGCTAGACCACTATGGAAAACCTGGAAGCACTGGACAGCCGTTTCGTCCTATTGTGGGATTCTCGCGAGGCGGAGTCGTGACTGCGCATTGTTGAGAAGTCTCACAATAAGACAAAACAGCCGTCCAATGCTTCCAGGTTTTCCATGCTGGTCTAGCTTCAATTGACTTATGGAATCAACTATTAAAATATTCAAGCCAAGAGTTATTTGATAAAAATTTCTAACAATGAAATAATGAATAAAATTGTTAAATAAAGTAACAGTATCCTACATATTATTGATAAAACTAAGTACTGATATAGTATTAATAATATTATTGGTAATCGGAGACTATAATGTTTAGAGTTTTAAGTTAATTGTATTGAGTGATTGAGTTGAAAATTATAATAAGAAAGCTGGTTGTTTCAGTTGAAAGTAAGTGAAAATCTCATCTGAATTAGTAGCTTTAGAGTAACGTTTAAACAATGTTCAGTTAAGTAGAAAACAATATAGATCTTTTTAAGGAACCGTTACTCATTTTCATCAGACACATATCGAAAAAAAAGATCAAATGGTTACATTTATTTTATATGTCTATTCTTGTAAAATTTCGATGGATTTTTGTTCTCTGAGCTAGATGGCTTTGTAGTGGAGCTTTCTTCGTTCTTCTGAACGACATCATCAGCACAAACTTCAAATAGTAGTGAAGAGTTCGAATTTTTCCATATGTGCTTCACAGCTTGTTATCTAGACCTCGATGTTGATTGGTTCTTGTTGACTTTAAACTTGTCATTGTTTACTTCAGAAGAACGATCAAAGCTCCAAGAATAAACCATCAAGCTCAGAGAACAAAACTCCATCAAAATCATCCATCTGAGATACAGATCTTCACCATTCTTGCAACATTGATACAGGAATCACACGTCAATAATTATGTTAAAGCATTGTGATATTAGTTCATTTTCATTTTAGTCATAATTTATTTATGATCCAATTTCTTGTTAATTTTAGGCTTTAATTATCTGAAAAACCAATTAAATATAATTTCCTTCAGTTTGAAGGCCATTTTTTATACAGAGGTATTCTTCATACTACACATGTTCATTATCCTATATAAAGATCAGTGATAAGGATGTAAACAGATTTAATTCAAGTAATGATTAGCTTATGATTGTTATAGAACTATTAAACTATGTGTTAATTTACTCACATTTATACTGTCAACAAATGCCCTCGTACGGCTGAGGATGGGAAGATTCAGCTCTCACTCTCCAAATGCTCT